GAAGGCCCAGGCCCTCGGGGACGACTGACGCCGCGGGACGCGGCCGCCTAAGACCGGGGATGTGTCGGGAACGCGGCGCTGGCAAGGTTTCGGCGCCTTACGATTCACATGAGCGCGCAGCCCGGCGCGAAGCGGGCGCAGGGCTTCTCGCGCTGGGGCTGCGGCGGCCGCGACGACGGCGGCGGCGGCGCCGCGGCGGGCCCGAGGCTGATCGTCGACATGGCCGTCGTGTGCTGGAGGTACGTGCCGACGGTCCGCTGCTCCATGCGCCGCCGCTGGTTCTCCGTGAAGCCGTTGTCGCCCAGGGGCTGCGGCGGCGGGAAGGCGGCCGCGATCTTGCGCTCGAAGCCGCTCTCGGTCAGCGACGGGCCGGGGTGCAGCCCGCGGACCTTGTTGCCCGCGGCGTCGCGCGGCGGCGGCGGCGGCGGCGCCGCGGCGGCGGCCGCGGGCGGCGCCTGGCCGTACTGCACGGGCAGCGCGTCGACGAGCGAGTCGCGTACCCACGCCGGCGCGAAGTCGAGCTCCTCCGACGGCGCCTTCGCCGGGGCGCCGGGGAAGCCCCCGTCCTCGAAGCTGCCCCGGAAGAACTCGGAGCCGCGGTCCGCCGCGTCGTCGGCCGGCGGCGCGCCGTCCTCGAGCGACGACGCGCCGTCCTTGAGCGACGACGCGTCGTCCTTGAGCTCCTCCGTGAGCATCGTCGCGTCGGGGACGGAGCCGCCGGCGTCGTCGAGGCAGCCCGCGAATCACGAGGGCGCCAGAAGCTCGAACCTTGAGCAATGCTGTTTTCAACACACAGCAAAAAGCGCGGCCATCGGCCTGCTTCGACGGCTTCGGCTTGAGATACGCCCGCCGCCCTCGCCACTGCCGCGCCGCGCGCACGATGCTGGGCCGCACGCCGTCGAAGCGCAAGCAGGCGCACCCGAAGCGCATGAACGTGGCCCTCGCGCCCCCGTCGCCGACGGCGACGCAGCAGAGCTTCGCGCTGAGCCCCACGGCCGTCAAGGACGCGGGCAAGCTCGCGCCGCGGTCCATCATCCCGGCCCCCAGTAAGTACGTCGTCGACCGCGAGTGGCGCACGCAGGGCTCCCGCTACCTCTTCCGCTGGGTCGTGCGGTCCGTCGCGGGCGTCGACGGTTCCGTGAACGCGCAGCTCGGTTTCGTGGCCGGCTGGCTCAGCGCGAAGGAGTCGGAGTTCGTCAACGCCAAGGGCAAGCCCGCGGGCCTCTACCGCGCCGTCTACGTGGGGAGCGAGCTCGACGGCGACACGGAGGATCTGGAGCTCCACGAGACGACGGCCGCGCTCTGGGCCCACAGCTGCAACGGCTGCCACTGCTTCGCGGCCGACAAGCAGGCGCTCGACCGCCACAAGGCCACCTGCGACGCGAGCCGGGCGGCGGACGCGGCCGAGGCGGCGCTGGAGCGCGAGGCGCGCGAGAAGCGCAAGGCCGAGGTGCTGGGGGGCGCGGACGGCGCGACGACGCGGCGCCGCGCGCGCGAGGGCGCGCCGCCGGGCGACGCGCCGGCGCCGGCGCCGGCGCCGCCGGCGCCGGCGCCGCCCCTCCACGCGCTCTTCGGCACGGCGCCGCCGGCGCCGTCGCCGCGCGCCGCGCCGCCGCCGCCGCGCGCGCCGTCGCCGCCGCCGCCGCCGCCGCCGCGCGCGGCCGCGCGGCCCGAGAGCCCCTGGGACGAGGAGACGCGCGCGGACGACGACGACCTGGCGTCCATCGGCCGCGCGTCGGCGACGCGCCTCGTGCCCCTGCCGAGCTACGAGTTCGACCTCCGGGGCGACCGCGTCGACGTCGCGCTCGCGAACGGCGCCTCCGGCTCCAAGTTCGTGCTCCGCCTCGACGGCGGCCGCCTGACCGTGTTCCGCGCGCTCCGGAGCGGCGCGGCGGACGTCCGCGACGTCGTCGGGAGCGTAAACCTGCCCTTTTAAAAATAACTCGGACCAGCCCTCAGGCTTCTCAACATACCAAACTTACTTCTTCACCTTCTGGAACTTGGCGTCGTCGTAGGAGCCCTCGTGGAAGAGGGACACGGGCGCGTCCGCGGCGATCGTGAACATCTGCGCCTTCGTCGCGGGCTTGACGCCCCCCGGCGTCTCGTGGAAGGCCGGGCACGTGTCGAGCAGGGACTCGATGTCCGCGTAGTCGAAGGTCGCGCCGATGTCCTTGCCGACCTGGAAGAAGGTCTCGACGACGGAGCCCGCGCGGTAGACGACGAGGACGGGGAAGACCTCGCTGTCCCAGCCCGCGCAGGCGTCGCCGGCCTCGCTGAGGCGCATGCCGACGAAGGAGATCTCGCGGCGGCGGCCGGCGAGGACGTCGAGGCACTGGTTCACGCGGCGGCACTTGGGGAACGTCGGCTCGTACAGATGCACGACGACGAGCGTCCTGGCGTCGACGTCGAGCGCCTGGAGGTACTCCTCCTTGCTGCAGTTGACCTTGAAGGCGCCGAAGGTGGGCATGCCCTGGACGGACCGCAGGGCGGCGATGCGCATCTTCCGGTACTCCTCGAGGAACTCGTCGTCGTCGTCGTCGCTGTCGTCGTCGTCGTCGTCGCCGCCGCCGCCGCCGGCCTCCCGGAGCTCGGCCATGGCCTCGCGCTGCCGCTCCGTGAGCTGCACGGGCGGCGGCGGCGGCGCGTCCGGGTCCCGCAGCCTGCCCCGGGCGACGTCGAGGAGCTTCCGCTCGCGCTCCTCCGCGAGTTCCACGCGCTCGGCGTACTGCATCTTCTTGAAGTAGCGGTGCTGCGCGAGGATGCCCTTGTTGCCGGGCATCTTCCGCGCGTCGGGCGCCTCGCCGTAGCGCAGGGGCTCGGGGTCGTCCATGGGGCCGGGCAGGTCCGGGATGGGGTCGTCGTCCTCGCTCTCCTCGTCCTCGGAGCCGCCGAGCGAGTCCGCGCGGCCGCCGCCCTCCTCGTCGCTGTCCTTGTCCCAGTGCTCGTAGCGCCCGGGGATGTTCTTCCGCAGGAACTTGTCCTCGAGGCCCCAGTCGCCCATGGTGGCGCGTGCGGCCGCGGCGGGATGCGCTGCGGTCGCGGGCAGCGGCGCGCGAAACGCAGGCTCGCTGCGAAGCATGGTTGACTTCAACGTGGGCAGCCCAGCGGCATGGCGCCCAGCCTTGCGGCCATCGTGCGGTGGCTGGCAGCGTCGACCATGCTGGCGTCCGGCGAGGACATCCAGACGGCGATGACGTTCCAGTGGGGCTGGGAGAAGAGCGTCACGGTCGAGTACGGCCTCGGCGAGGCGCCGCGCGCCGTCGCGTCGCGCGCTTTGGCCCTCGCCGGCGCCGATCCGTCCCAGCGAAGCGCCTTTTTGCCAACTCTAGAAGACGCCGCGGGCATGCAGGCAGGGTCGGCCGCGGCGTTCCTCCGGCACGCGGCCGGCGTCGCGGCCGCCGCGGACGCGACCGACGGCCGCGGGGCCTGGGTCGCGCTCGCGTGCGCGCGCGGCGGCGCGGCGGCCCGCGCGGCGCTCGTGCTCCGCGAGTCGCTCTGGCGCGGCGCGCCGACGCTCTTCCGGCGCCTCGTGCTCGTCGCTGTCGAGGGCACCGCGGGCGCGGCCTTCGACGCGGGCGGCGCGCCCAAAGAAGGCGCGCCGGCCGTGACCTTCGTGCAGCTCAGCGGCTCCCTCTTCTCGGGCGTCGGCTCGAATTTGGACCTCCTCGGGGCCGAGCTCGTCGCGCTGCTCGTGCAGGCGGGCGTCGGCGCGGCGCACCTGCCGCCGCGGACCGTCTTTTTTTGCGACGCCTTCGAGCGCCTCGGGACCGAAGTCGACCTCGCGCTCTGGGACGTGGCCGCGGGCGACGCCTGGCGCGGCATAGCGACGCGGCGCCACGTCGCGCTCGCGGCGCCCGCGGCCGCGGGCCGCGTCCTCGCGGCGCGGCGCGCCGCGACGGCGGGCCGCGCGCGCGGCGCCGTCGGCCTCGGAGACCTCGCGCGGGGCGGCGAGGTCGCCTTCGCCACGGCCTTCGAGCCCGGCGCGGACTGTGGCTTCGTCGTGACGCGCGACGGCCAGCGCGTGGGCGCGCACTGCGGCCATCGCGTCGGCGCCGCGGATATGGCGTTCGCGCTGGAGTACAAGGCCCTGCCCGCGCCTCGACCCGGCGCGCGCGTCGCCGTCTTCCTGAAGCAGCGCGACGAGTTCCGGCTTTTCGATGATTGGCTCCGGCACCACGGCGGCGTTTTTGGGATGGACCGCGTCACCGTGGTCGACCACCGGTCCGCGCGGGCCGGCGTCGTCGCGGCCGTCGAGGCCGCGGCGGGCGCGGGCGCGACGTGCTACCGCGTCGACGGCGCGCACCGCGAGGCCGACGAGACCATGACGGACCTCATGCGCGGCGCGGCCATGGGCGGCGGCTACGACTTCCTCGTGCCCCTCGACGCGGACGAGTTCCTCGTCGCGCGCGTGCCCCGCGGCGACGGGTCCTGGGGCTTCGACGCGTCGCCGGCGGCGATCCGCGCGGCCTTCGACGACGTTCGGGTCGCGGCGCGGGGCCGCAAGCTGCGCATTCCCCTCGTCGGGGCGGCCTGCGGCGGCGACGCCGCGGGCGGCCTCGCGCGGAACCCAAAGTTCCGCGCGCCGAAATTCGTTTTGGAGGCCGCGTCGTTGCGCGACGAGGCGCCCGAGGGGCTCTACGTCCTCAACTACATGTACAACCTGCACTGGCACGCGCCGCTCCGCGCGTCGCAGCCCGAGGGGTTCTGGGAGAAGCAGAAGATCGCGTTCCCGGGCGGCGACGACTTCATCGACCGCGACTCGGGCAGCCACCGGGGCCGCGTCGCCGCCGACGGCGCGGGGCTCGAGGACGCGGCCAACAGCCCGGACGCCTTCGACGCGTCGAACCTCGTCGCCGACGGCCTCGCGATCTTGCATTTTGAGCTGCCGCCCTTCGCGGACTGGCGATCCGAGATGGTCACGCGCGCCGCGGACCAGCGGCGCGAGGCGCGCCTCGCGACGGACCACCTCGCCAACGACGGCGAGAACGGCCACTGGCTCGCGAACGCCGACGCCGTCGAGAGCGGCGACGACGCCGCGCGCGCGCGCTACGCGGCCCTCTGCGACGGCGTCGGCGGGCCGGGCGCCGTCGACGTCGCCTTCGCCGGGCTCCGGGACCGGCTCGCCGACATCGAGGCCGCCGAGGGGGGCCCGCGATGATATTTGGGGTGTTCTAAAGCACAGGGGAGGAGCCTAGACGTCGTCCGCGTCGAGGATGAGCTTCTCGACGCTCGGCGGGACGCGGCGCGGCGCGTCGAGGAGCGCGCCCGGCGCGGCGAAGGGGTCCGGCGCCGCCGGCGCGTCGCCGGGCGCCGCCGGCCCGCCGCCCCGGGACCCGCGCGCGCGGCACGCGTCCGCCGCCTGGCGGCACTGCAAGGAGCCCGAGTCGATCATGTCCATGACGTCGCGCTCGGGCCGCGCGTCCGCGGGCATGTCGACGATGTGGCGCTTCGCCGCGACGAAGGCGGCGACGGCGCGCGCGTAGGCGTCGTGGGCCTTCCGGTGCTTGCGCCGCGTCTCGAGCGCGTTCGCCTCCGTCGCGTGTCGGAGCGCGTCGTCGAGCGCGGACTCGAGCATCGCGCGCGCGTCCGGCAACGCCGACGCGCGCCGCCGCTCCTCGTCGGCGAGCTCCGACGCCGCGAGGCCCCGCCGCGTCTCGAGGTCCTCGAGGCGCTCGAGCTCCTCCAGGCGTCTTTGGTCGGCTTCTAAGGTCCGCGCGGAGTCGTCGACGGCGCTCCGCACCAAGCTCTCCTCCTCGCGCTGGTAGGCCCGCTCGCGGTCGAGGCGCGCGAAGAACCGCGCCGTCGCCTCGAGCTCGGCGACCCAGGCATCGCGCTCGGCCTCGGACGCGGCGGCGAGCACGAGGCGCCCGCCGCCGTCGCCGCCGTCGACCGAGAACACGGCGAAGGCCCAGGGCCGCCCGGCGAGCTTCTCGCCCCAGGCGTCGACGGCGCAGCGCCGCGCGTCGAGGCGCCCGCTCGCGCCGCCGTCGTCCGCCCACCGGAGCTCGCCGTCCGCGCGAACCGCGACTTCGACGTCCCGCCAGTCGCTCGCCGCGGCGCTCGACCGCTTCGCGAGGCGCCCGCGCAGGCAGACGAGGCCGTAGCGGTGCCGCACGCGCCGCAGTAAGAGGTGCTCCTGGCCCACGTACTTGGCCAACAGCTCGTCGACGCTGCCGTCGCCGAGCTTCGCCGCGTTGTTCTCCCGGTAGCAGTCCCGGATGGCCTCCCGCAGCGCGGCGCGCTGCTCCTGCGGCACGGGCGCCTCGTCGTCGCCGTCGTTCAGCAGCGATGCCATGCCGTCAGGATCTGGTGGCGTCGTGCGAGGCGCCGAGCACGGCCGGTCCGGGAGGACGCCGGGACCCCGGGGCCGCAGTGGAGATTTTGTCGCTGGCCGGGGGTCCCGAGTCCGATTCGCCCGCGCGCGCGCCCCGGCCCGCCCGACGCGAGGGACACGACAGGTAAATGCGAGTGGGCGGGTTTCGGTTCTCAGAAGTCGTAGAGGTCGTCGTCGTGCTGGTGGGCCGTCTCCTTCGCCGGCGGCTCGGGCGACGCGGCGGAGACGGACGCGAGCGTCCTCGTGACCTCCCAGTTCGTGATCTTCGTCTTGAGCGCGTCGTGGATCTTGAGCTCGGACTCGACGAGGGGCTGGCCCGTGAGCGGGCAGATGGAGCCGTTCTTCGCGAACCACGCGCGGATGACCTTGGCCTCGAAGACGTGGCCGTACGGCGACGCCAGCGGCTCCTTGAGCACGCGCCGCGAGATCGCGCAGAGGAACTCCTCCGGCGCGCCGGGCGGCGCGGCGGCCAGCCCGCCGCGGGCCGGCGTGGACGCGTCGGGCGCCGGCGCGGGCGCCGCGCCGGGCGACAGGCGCCGCCGGTCCGCGGACGACGCGGCCTCCGACAGGCGCCGCGCGTCCGCGGCCGCGCCGGATCGCTTCGTCGGCGACAGGGCGGGCAGCTCGCCGAGCTTCTCGCCCCGGTGGAGGAAGGCCGGCGCCGTCTCCGTCTCGTCCTCGGCCTCGCGGCGCCGCGCGAAGTCGACGGCGGACGCGGCCGCGCCCGACGGCGCGTCGTCGTCCTTGCCCTCGGCGAGCAGCGGCGCGTCGCCGGCGACGCCGACGCGGCTCGCCGGGTCCTCCGCATCGCCGAAGACGAAGGCGATGCGGTCGCGGTCCGCGCGCGGCGCGGCCGCGCCCTCGCCGCCTGTGTGGAAATCAACCACTGGTTTGGGGGGTCCTGACCAAACTTCAGAACTCTCTATCTCAATCAAATCGACGTCGATTCGGCTGATTTTTGGACGAATCGGTTGCTCTCGTCGAGTTCTCGAAGCACGGCGAAAGAGTCTGGTCCAAATCGGTCGATTACGCGCACATTGAAGTCGGGTTGAAGATTTGATTTCCACACAGCTCGCCGCCCATCTCCTCCAACACGTCGCGGACGCTGCCGAGCGACGCGACGTGGTAGGCCAACGCGTCCTGGGCGTCGCGCAGCGTCGCGTCGGCGCCGTAGACGAGCAGGGACCGCACGACGTCGACGTGGTTGTAGAACGCGGCCTCGTGGAGCGGCGTCCACCCGATGCCGTTCGCGAGATCCTTCGGCGCGCCCGCTTCCAATAGCAACACCGCGATGTCCTTGAAGCCGCAGCGCGCGGCCTCGCCGAGGCAGGACTGGGGCGGCGGCCGCGCGAACGGAAAGCGCCGCGCGGCGTCGCCGTCGGGCACGTGGCCCAGGTCCGCCGCGGCGCCCGGCGCCGCCAACAGCCGGCGGACGATGGGCTCGAAGCCCCGGTGGCAGGCCTCGTGGAGGGGCGTCCAGCTCAACGAATTGCGGCAGCGCGCGTCGGCGCCGGCGTCCAACAACGCCGCGACGACGGGCTCGACGCCGTAGGCCGCGGCCATGTGCAGAGGGGTCCACCCGGCGTTGTACGCGCCGGGCCCCCGCCGCGTGCGCGCCTCGAGGCTCGCCCGGTTGCGCACGAGCTCCTCGACGATGGCCAACGCCGCCGTCGTCGTCGCGTGGCTGTGGCAGCAGGCGTGGAGCGGCGTCCAGCCGTCCGGGTTCTCGCGCGCGACGTCGTCCAACACTATCCGCTCGCCGGAGACCATGACGTTGAAGCGGCTGCCGTAGTCGAAGGGCTGCGCCGCCTCGCGCGCCGCGTTCTCCCGGTCCGCGGCGAGGCCCCGCGCCGACCGCAGCGCCGGCGCGTCCTCGGCGTGGAAGTCCTGGATGCGGTACATGTCGGGAAAGGACATGGACGCCAGGGCCTGGCCCAGCAGGTAGGTGCAGGCCACGAGCTGCTCGAGCTCGCCGCCGTCGCTCGACGCGCCGGCGCCCATGACGAACCGGCGGGGGGCACCGACCCCGGGGCCGCCGACCCGGCGCGGCGCGAGGCGTTTAAGCTGCCCCCAGCGTTTGAGTTTGGACGTTCGCAGCTGCAGCGAACTTCTTGACCTTCAAGCCCTGATGCAACTATGCAGCCCCATGGGCGGATGATGGCGCCATGCGCCAAGCCGCCGCTCTGCTAGCGCTTCTGATGCAGCCCCATATGGGCAGATGATGGCGCCATGCGCCGCGCCGCCGCCTTGCTGGCGCTCGCCGCCGCCGATGACGACAACTGGTCGTCGCTCGTGCCCCGCGGCGTGCCCGTCGTCGACTACGTCGCCGCGGCGCCCGTCGACGCCGGCGAGACCGCGACCCTCGCCTTCACGATACACCACCGCGGGCGGCGCGACGTCCTGCTCCAGGTCGACGGCGCGCCGGGGCGCGTCGTCTGCGAGGCGTCCGCGGCGGCGTGCGCCGCGACGGCCCGCGTGGCCGCGGCGGCGCCGGGCTGGCACGCCGCGGCGCTCGTGCTCGGCGCGCCGGGCGCGGCCGGCTACGCGAACCTCACGGCGGCGTCGCTGCCCTTCTTCGCGGCGGGGCCGTTGGAGACGCGCCCCGCGCGCGACCCGCGCCCCTGCGACGGCGCGCGGGGAAATTTGTCCGTGCACGTCGTCGCGCTCGACCGGCCCGCGGCGCTCCTGCGGCTCCTGCGGTCGCTCGCGGCCGCGGCCTACGACGGCGCGACCGTGCCGCTCACGGTGCACGTCGACGGCCCCCGGGGCCGCGGCGAAGCGGCGGGCGCCGCCGCGCGGACGTTCGAGTGGCCCCACGGCCCCTACGCGGTGCGGGAGCGCGACGCGAACGTCGGCGCGACGGCGAACCGCCTCGAGGCCTGGGTGCCGCCGTCGCCCTGCGCCTGGGGCGCCTTCTTCGAGGACGACGTCACCGTCGACGCGCGCTGGGCCCGCTTCCTCGGCGCCGCGGCGGCCGCGTACCCGGCGGCCGAGGGCGTCGTCTTCCAGCGGAACTGGCTCAGCCCGGCGGTCTACCTCCGCGAGTCGGACGCGCTGAACGCCGGGCAGCCTTTCATGTCGCCCGTGCTCGGGCCCTACGCGCACGCGGTCCGCGGCGACTTTTGGCTCGAGTTCCGGCGCTGGTACGACGCGCTGGGCCCGGCCGGCGACGCGTTTGCGCGCGTCGCGGTGCCCGGCTGGTCCTTCACCAACGCCTGGGTGGCGGGGGACTTCCGCCGGGGCCTCTGGACGGCCTACGTCGACCGCTTCCTCTTCGACACGGGGCGGCGGGCGCCCTTCGTCTACGCGAACGCGCCGGGCGGCGGGGCCCTCGCGACGAACCACCACGATTTCCCGGGGCTGCACTACCCCGGGACCAAGGGCCGCGACGCGGCGCCCCTCGACGGCGGCTGGGTGTCGCGGGGGCGGCTCTGGCACCTGCCGCCGCGGCCGACGGTGGTCGACGCGACGGGCCGGCCCGCGCGGCGCCGCGGCGTCGCCGCGGCCGCGGTCGCCGCGGCGGTCCACCCCTGGGACGTCGTCGGCGTCGTCGGCGCGCCGTCCCTCGAGCCCTGCGGCGCCGCCGTCGACGTCGTCGTCGCGGGGCCCGGCGCCGCCGCCGCCGCCGCCGCGGCGCCGAACGTCGAACGGCCCTGCGCGGCCGCGGGCGTCGAAATCGCGGACGTCGCCGTCGTCCTCGACGCGGCGGGCCTCGGCGCGCCGCTCGAGGCCGCGGCGGCCGCGGGCTTCGTCCTGGGGCGCGCCGAGGGCCGGGGCGGCTCCGCGGCCTTTGTGCTCGAGAGGCCGGACGCGGCGAACCCGGTCTCCGTCGTCGCTCGGACGACGTTCCCGGACGGGGGCTTCGAGATCGTCGCGACGCTCGCCAAGTACGGCGCCGTCCAGGACCTGCGCTAAGGGTGCGGCTTTAGGAGGGAGAGCCCCGCCCGCTGCCGCTCGCGCTCGCCCGCGAAGGCGCCGAGGAACGCGTCGAAGTCGTCCATGGCCGCGTCCTCGTCGTCGCCGCCGCCGCCGCCCGGGCCGCCGACGTCCGCCGCGAAGCGCACGCTCCGGCTCGGCGTCGGGCAGATGGACGGCGGCTGGCTCGCGGCGTTCAAGGCGCCGGCGGCCGCCGCGCGCGGCGCGTCCGCCGGGGCCGCGGGCTCGGGCCACCACATGTCGTCGTCGTCGTCGTCGTCGTCGTCGTCGGGCGCCGCGCCGTCGACGCCCGACGCCCAGGAGATGGACGGCGCCGGCGCGTCGTCCGGCGGCGCCGCGCCGTGCGGCGTCGGCGCGCGCGGCCGCGCGGGCTGGTCGCCCGGCCGCGTCGACGCGGGCCGCGCGTCGTCGTCGTCGACGCCGTCGTTCCAGGAGCCCCAGTCCCAGGCGGACGCGGGCGCGCCCTCCGGCGACGCGCCGCCGGGCGACGCGGGCGACGCGAGCGCGTCGTGGGCGCCCGGCGGCGCGTCGTGAGGCCGATGCTCCGCGCCGGAGACCTTCCGCCGGCCGCCGCCGCCGTCGCCGTGGGGCGTCGCCGCGCGGCTCCGCGCGGCGGCCTTGGGCTCGCCCGCGGGCGTCGCGAGGGCCGGCCGCGCCTCGACGGCGCTCGGCCGCTCTCCCGCGGGCGTCGCGAGGGCCGGCCGCGCCTCGACGGCGCTCGGCCGCTCGACGAACGGCTCGGGCGGCGGCGGCGCGAGCGGCGCCGCGTCGTTGTTCGCGCGCGCGTCGCCCCGCGGCCGCCGGGGGATTTTTGCCGGGGGCTTCGCCGGGGGCTTCGCTTGGGGCTTGGCGCGGCGCGGCGGCTTGGGCTGCGGCGGCTGCGGCTGGGGCCGGGGCCGCGGCGCGGCGTTCTTCGGCGCCTCGACCTCGGCGACGAGCCCCGCGAGGACGGCCCGGAGCCCGTCGTCGTCGCCGCCGAGGCGCTGGAGCTGGGCCTGGGCCGACGCCAGCAGCTGGGCCTGGCCGCCGAGCTCGCGGTCGCGCGCGGCCTGCCGGTCCGCCTTCCACCGCTTCACCTTGTCGAACGCTTCCCGGTGGTGCGAGTGGAGCAGCTTGTCCCAGTAGTCGCCCGTCATGGCGCCGGCGGCGTGCTTCTTGGCGATGAGGTCCGGGGCCGTGCGGCCCGGGTCGTAGAGGTGCGACGCGCGCGCGAGGAAGGCGCCCGGCGGCGCCGACTTCGACGCCTCGAGCTTCCGGTGCGGCGGCGGCACAGCGGCGGGCGGCGGTTCCCGGCGCTGGGGCGGCGCGCCGCTCGCGGCGAGGAGCTGCGCGAGCTCCGCGTCCATGGCGCCGGCGTCCCAGCGGCCGGGCGGCGCCTCGGGCGTCGACGGCGCGGACGGGCCCCGCGGCGGCGCCGCCGCCGCGCGCGGCGGCGGCGGCGCCGCGGGCCCGCGGCCGCGGCCGCGGCCGCCGCGGCGGCCGGCCGCCCGGCCGCCGCGCGGCGCCGCCCGCTTCTTCGCCGACGTCTTCTCGAAGGTCTCGACGGACGACTCGTACTGGCTGCTCCAGGTCGGGCAGGCAACGCGGGGCACGGCGACCGGCGGCGCCGACGGCATGGAGTAGAGGTCCGCCGTCGTCGGCCGCTCGGCGCTCGGCGTCGGCGCCAGCACGTTGCCGGCCCGCGTCGCCGCGCCCTGCTGGGCCCGCCGGGGGCCCATGACGGGCAGCGCCCTTCGTCGGTGCTGGATGGGGGCGGGACGTTGGGCAGCCGAAGGAGGGCCGAAGCACCACTGCGATGTGCGCAACGTTGGGGGATACTTGCGGGGGTCAAACATTGGTTTATTGAGCATTTAGGCGGCTCGCTGTATGTATTTGGTTCCGCTGATTTCGGGCGGAGACGGCATGGACGCATTAAATTTAGTCGAGCGCGCCTACCACCGCGCGCGCGCCCCCGCGTGCAAGATCCCTGGGACTGCGCGTAGCGCACACATGGGGGCTGCCATCGGCGAAGGAGCGGCATCATTTGGATTGCGACTCGCTGCGAACGAGAGTGGTTCGGGCGACGGATTTGACCGACTCGACGCCCCTCCCCCGGACCGTGAGCGGTCCGGGCAGCCCCGCGCAGCAGCAGGGATCGTCCGCCATCGCCCCGCGAGCGCCCTGCCACGAGGGCTGGCCCAGAGGAGCCGAGGGGTCGGTCCGACACGTTCGGGCTAAAACCGCGTCGCGCGCACCCGCGCGGCCGCGCGCGCGCATCGCACGTCGCCCGAGTCAAACCAGTGACTGAGCAGCCCGAGGGCACCAGACATGTACCCCGAGGCTCCGCGCCAGCCAGCACGCTGCCCCGTGCCCGGATCGCGTCGCGCCGCGGCCCTCGAGAGCATCCGAAAATGCCCGACTTCGCGACCGCGCCACGCAGCCCGATCAACCGGCGCCATGTCACCACGCACATCTCTGGACGCAACTCGAGCTCGCGCTTCAGGCGCACCCGCCCTTGACATGGCGCCAGTTGATCGAGCCGCGCCACCCAAGTGTAAAGAGAGCTTCTCCATGCTTCGGCCCTCATGGCAGCCGAAGCTGTGATCGAGGTGATCGAGCTGTGATCGTCGACCTGGGATGGAGAGAGAGAGTTGAAGAGAGAGAGATAGCTTTCCTCCAAGAACCGGCCAATGGTGTGCAAGAAGTTGTTGAACACCTTGCCGCATAGCCCGGAAGCACCATCCCCGGGCCATTAACACTCACCAGAAGCACCCATGTTCGCCCCCTCCAAAAACCAGCTCGCGGGCCCCGGGTCGAGCGCCGAGGAGCGCGTCGCGTCGGCCTGGGACTTGGAGGAGCACCTGCGGGCGCTGGACGCGTCGGCGGCGCTGGACGTCGAGGGCCTCGAGACCATCCCCGAGCACAGCTCGAGCCACTCCGGGAGCTCGAGCGGCGGGAGCGCGCCCATGTCCCTGAGCGACTCGTTCGAGCTCGACGAGTCGTCGCCCGAGTTGCGGCGCGGGGGCGACTGCGGCGTCGGCTGCCTCGGCCGCGGCGGCGGCGGCGTTTCGGCCCTCGAGAGCTGCCGCCCCCTGCGGCGCCACGGCGCCAAGCTCGACGACGCCCTGAGCCGCCTGCCCGTCGACCTCGCGAAGCGGCGGCTTTTAGAGGTGCTCGACGCGGCCGAGGGCGAGCCCCGGGACCGGCGCGTCGTCGTCGCCGCGGCGGACCTCGCGCGCGAGTGGCACCCGGCCTCCGGCGACGAGGCGCTCGTGGCGCGCCTCGCGACGGGCCGCTGGACCGCGGCGACGCGGCCCCGATTCCCCGGCGAGGTCGGGAAGACCGACGCCGGCGCGTGTCGCTACGCGCTCGGCCGCATGTCCTTCGGCCTCTTCGCGCCCGCGGACGTTGTGGTGGAGGTCGAGGAGTGCCGCAACGTCGTCCGCAAGCTGAAAAATCCGCCGCCGCTGCCCGACGCGCTCGTGAGCCGCCGCATCCGCGACCGGAAGCTCCCCGTGGACCCCAAGGACGTGCGGTCCTACGACGTCGAGACGCGCTTCGCCGTCGCCGACGCGCGGGGGGCGGGCCTCCGCGGGGCGCTGGTGACGCGGGGCTTCTGCGCGCCGGCCCACGACGCCGCGCCCGACGCGGCGCACCGCCTCGACGTCTGGTTCGTCGGCGGCGACCTCTACCCCGTCGACGACGGCGACGCCGAGGCCTGGAGCGCCCTCTTCGGCGCCGCGCACCTCCCGCGGCGGTCCGTGGGCTCGCGGCTCGGGCTCTGGTTCGCGTCCGTCGCTTTGGGCATCGACCTCGAGCCGCCGGAGCCGCGCGGCGTCCAGCGCTACACGGTCGCGCGGCCCGTCGTCGGCTACGTCGACGTCCTCTACGCCGACGCCGACCTCCGGGTCACGCGCGGCAACCGGGGCTCCCTCGTCGTCACGCGCCGGTGACCGCGGCCGAAAGAGATCCGAAGGACCCGACCCGGAATCCGGGGGCCCCGTTCCCGGGGGCCCAGTAACACCCGCCCGGCGGGAGAAACAGCCCCGTCGTCTACTCCAAAGTCGCCTCGAGGCGGGCCATTAAGGCCGCCGCGCGGCGCCGGGGCAGCGGCGCGCCGCGCTACTTGTGGTAGTAGTCGTCGCTGTCGACGGCCGTGGTCTGGACCTTGTACTCGGCGTCGCGCTCGGCCTCGGCGGCGCGCTGCATGGCGGAGATGTGGGTCGCGAGCTCGTCGCCGGGCTGCGGCGCGGGCGGGACCGCGAGCTGGGCCTGGTCGTTGCCGTTGATGATGTTGTAGCCCGTGCGCGTGTCGCCGCAGCGCTGGAGGTTGCGCGACCGCACGGCGGCGCGGTAGCGCACCTTGTCGTCGTGGAAGCGGAGCCGCTCGCCGTCGAGGCCGTCGTTGTAGCGGAGCGTGATGGCGTCGTAGGGCACGGAGGAGTGGTTCTTGCGCGCCTTCTCGCCCGCGGCGCGCTGCTCGTCCCAGTACTGCTCCTCCTCCTTCTTCCGCGCCTGGATGAGCTCCCAGCGGTCCTCCTCGCGCTTGACGCGGAGCACGCGCTTCGACGCGTACGTCGCCTGCTGCGCCTCGTACTTCGCGCGGCGTCTTAAGTATTCCTCGCCGGAGACGTCCGTGTGGAAGCGGTCCGCGTCGCTGAGGAAGCCCGCGGCGTTCTGGTCGGGGACGATGAGGCCCATGGCCGTCTTCGGCGCGTTCTCGCGGTACTGCTTCGCGCTCAGGCCCGTGCGCTTCATGAGGCGCTCCTTCTCCAGGGCGACCTTGTCCTTCTGGGCGCGCCGCTCGTGGCGCGTCATGGGCTTGATGTTCCGGAACCCGGACGAGCCCACCTCCTGCATCGTCGCCACCGGCGCTGGCGCCGGCGCGGGGACGGTTGTGGGGGGCAGCCCGTAAGTAATGCGTGGCGACCGTATCGGCGTCAACGACCCGACGCTGCCCCCACGATGGGGCGGCGGCTTATCATCATAATCGGCGGCGGCCTCGCGTCCGTCGAGGTGCGGCTCGGCGACGGCGGCCGCGCCGTCTACGACGGCGGCGCCGACGTCGGCGCGGCGCGGGCCTTCTGCGACTTCTACGGCGTCGAGCCCGCCGGGGCCTGCGCGTCGGACCTCGTCGCCGCCGACGGCGGCGGCGCGCCGGCGCTCGGCGCCTGGGAGGGCGGCGTCGAGGTGGAGCTCGCCGACGGGACGCGGGCGTTCTACGGCGGCGGCGGCGACGCGGCGGCGGCGAACGCCTTCTGCCGGTCAAAAGGCGTCGACGACCCGCGGTGCCCCTGGGACGTCGCCGTCGCCGCGGGCGCCGACGACGACGACCGGGTCCACCTCGCGCTGGACCTGCCCGACGGCTACGCGTCTATCGCAGACGCCGACGCGCGCGTCGGCGAGCTGCGGCGGCGGTCCGCGCTCGTGGCGCCGTTCCCCTGGGACGCGGCGGTCGTGCCCGTGTTCCAGCCCCACTGGAAGCTCGCCTTCGCCGGCGCCGGCGGCGACGTCGTCGCGGACGTGCTCACGCACTGGGGCGACGTCTACGCGTCGGCCCTCTGGCACCGGCCGCGCGCCGCGGCGCCGCGCGCCGGCGGCCGCGCGAAGGTCGGCTTTTTGAGCTCGTGGTTCTGCAACAGCGCCGTCGGGCGGCTGACGGCGGGGCTCATCGCGCGCCTCGACCGCGAAGCCTTCGCCGTCCACGTCTACGTGCTGCGGGACGGCAAGGGCCGCGTGCGGCGCGACGCGTTCACGGCCGCGCCGGAAACAACCGGCGAGCCGGGACGTCGGGGCCCAAACATCAGAGCTCGGTCACATCCGAGTCGTTTTGGCTGATTTTTGGACGAATCGATGGCTCTCGTTGGGTCT